TAAAGGTAACCAACCAAAAAAACTTCAACCTCTTAAGTTTTATACCACCGACTCATAACCGTAGATTAATCCAAACAACCTCTTTTACTAACCCACTGATCTTTGCTGCGAGGTAACGAATCGGCAACAGCCTCAGCAGCGACCATTCAAGGAACTTATCTGCAGACCTTGATAGACACCAGAGCCTTCTCCAATGTCTTTCCAGGTACGCACTTTGTTAGGATATCGGCTAGATTTAGGCTAGTGTGAATCTTCTGAACTGAAACACTACCATCCGCAATAACATCCCTGATAAAATTGAACTTCCTGTGAATATGTTTAGTCCTTTCGTGATACCCACCGTTCTTTGCTAAGAATATTGCTGACTGTGAATCACAATTAACCTTAACTGCCCCTTGCTCAAATTCTAAATCTTCACACACACCCTTAAGCCATAACGCTTCCTTAGCCCCTTCAGTTAGTGACATGTACTCTGATTCAGTAGTTGATAGAGCCACGATAGGTTGTAGACCAGACCTCCAACTTATAGTGTTGCCTCCCACTTGAAATAAGTAGCCAGTAACTGACCTGCTCCTGTCTCGATCAGATGCAAAATCTGCATCACAAAAACCCTCCACCTTAAACTCTGTACCCTTCGTAAACCACAAACCAAAATCTGTAGTTCCTTTCACATATCTCAACACCCACTTCACAGCTTCCCAATGTTCTCTACCGGGATTTCCCATAAATCTGCTAACAACTCCAACAGCATGAGCAATGTCTGGACGAGTTCCTACCATTGCGTACATTAAACTTCCCACGGCGCTTGCGTATGGAACATCGACCATGAACTTTGCTTCTATTATAGTTTCCTTCTCATCTAGACTCTTCAATCTGAATTGAGTTCCCATAGGAGTAGTTACAGCTTTACACTATGTCATGTTGAAGGTTGAGAGTACCTGTTCAAGGTATTTTCCCTGAGACAACTTCAGAGTACCGCCCTTCCTGCTTCTTATTATATCCATCCCTAGAATTCTTGTAGCAGCACCAAGATCCTTCATCTCGAATTCACTACTCAGTCTAGTTTTAAGTTCCTTGATTACTTCCATATCCTTAGATACCACCAACATATCGTCAACGTACAACAGTAGATAAACCCTTGAAGTCATATCTGTTCCACTAATGTAGACACACTGATCATAAGGACTTCTTCTGAAACCCTGTTCCTTCATGAACCCATCAAAGCGTTTATTCCACTGCCTTGGAGACTGTTTAAGACCATATAGAGACCTCTTTAGCAGACAAACCCAATCCTCTTTTCCTTTAGTAACAAACCCTTCAGGCTGTTCCATGTAGATTTCTTCCTCTAGAGTTCCATTCAAGAAAGCCGTTTTAACATCTAGCTGTTCCAGATGTAGATCTTCATTAACCACTAGAGATAGGATGAACCTGATAGAAACATGTTTTACAACTGGAGCGAAAACTTCATTGTAATCTATGCCTTCAACTTGGGAATAGCCTTTAGCCACCAATCTGCCTTTAAACCTTGGTTCCTCAACTCCTGGAATTCCCGGCTTCTTCTTGTAAACCCACTTGCAGCCAATAACCCTTTTCTTAGTAGGTCTCTTCACCAGTTTCCAAGTCTCATTTTTCTCAAGTGAATCCATTTCTTCTTCACTGGCAGATCTCCACTGCTTACTCTCTTTAGACCTCATAGCTTCTTGATAGGATTTAGGTTCATCAACTTGAATGTCACTCGCTGCAGATAGAGCATAAGCTACAACATCAAAGTCATCATATCTGGATGGCAGCTTTGTCTCTCTGCAAACTCTGTCTCTAGCCAATATGTAGTGATCCAAGTCCTGTTCAACTCCACCTTCTGTTTCAGATACCTCTTCCTCTGTATCAGAATCTGCTCCACCTGAATCTGAACTTCCTGTCTGAGTTGACACCCCTGAAGTAGAAGCCTCTGAATCATTTAACCCCTTAAATGGACCCTTAACCAGATTAGGACTGAATGTAACCTGCTTCTTCTTCTCTCTTTCTATACCTTTCCCTTTATCAGCGTTAGTCAGACTGCTCTTAACCTCCACTGAGTCTATCTCTTTCTGTAAATCTTTGTAGACTTCTTCTTCATGAAAGATAACGTTTCTGCTAATAGTACATCTACCCTCTTCTGGTAACCAGACTCTGAAACCCTTAGTTCCTTGAGGATAACCAACAAAGAAACCTTTAACTGCTCTAACACTAGTCTTCGCCCCAACCTTGTGAACATAAGCAGCTGAACCAAACCTTCTCAGATGTTTAATACCTGGTTTAGAACCTGACCACAACTCTTCTGGTAGCTTATATTCAATAGCAGAACTAGGTGACCTGTTGATTAAGTAGACCGCAGTAGAAGCCGCTTCTGCCCAGAATCTTTCCTCCATACCACTCTCAGCCAACATACACCTAACCCTTTCCATGATAGTCCGATTCATCCTTTCTGAAACCCCGTTCTGTTGCGGTGTATAAGCACATGTGCGATGCCTCTTGACCCCAGTAGCTTTACAGAACTCATCAAACCTTTTGTTACAATACTCCAGCCCATTATCTGTTCTCAAACATTTCAACTTCTTCCCAGTCTGAGTTTCAACCTCTACTTTCCACTCCTTGAACATCTCAAAGGCTTCGTCTTTAGTTTTTAGAAAATAGATCCAGACTTTTCTTGAATAATCATCAATAAACGTGATGAAGTATTGCTTCTCAGCCAAACTTGGAACCACCGTAGGAGCTCCCCATAGGTCTGAATGAACATAGTCCAGAATTTCTTTAGACGTATGGTTTCCCTTCTTAAAGCTTTGTTTATGTGCCTTTCCTAACACGCAATCTTCACAGAACCCTAGCTTGTCGATATCTTTAGCTTCTAGATATCCTCCTTTAACAAGTAAATCAAGATCTTTCTGACTTATATGTCCCAACCTAGAATGCCACTTCTTTGTTGTACTGACTTTAGGAGCTGCTGAGGGACTCTCACCCTTTAGAACAGATCCTTCCAAGTAGTAGAGACCATCTGAGTACTTTCCTGTCAGAACTTCCTTTCCATTCTTGAAGAACTTAACTTTGTATCCACTTCCTTCGTAAGTACAACCCGCCTTCTCTAAGCTTCCATATGATATCAAGTTTCTACCCATTGTAGGCATAAACCTAACATCAGTGAGAATTACTATAGAACCATCTTTCTTCTTTATACGTACCTTTCCAACTCCTTCTATTTCACTGAACGTATTATTTCCCATCAGAACTTTCCCTCCACTAGCTTCCTTAAGATCAAACAAAACCTCCTTGTTTGGAGTAATATGAAAGCTTGCTCCTGAATCCAGAACCCACTCATCTCGAGTGTCTTGGATGCTTGCAGTAAGAATCAATGGTTCTTTCTTAGTGCCTTTAACTGATGCAACGTTCACTGAGCTTGAGCTGGAACCTTTAAATTTTCCTTTATCGGGACACTCTCTCTTCCAATGTCCTTCTTTGCCACATATGAAACATCCTTTGTTATTCTTGCTGGACTTAGGTTTAGAGTAATCCTTACTCCTCGACTTAGACCTTCCCCTTGAGTAGTTTCCTCTCTTATCAGATCTTCCACGGTCCCCAACATACAATCCTTCAGAATCAGACTTGGCCTTTCCAAAAGCACATTTTTCCCTTAACTCTGTTTCCTTAGAGTATGCCGCAGATATCACATCATTTACTGTAAGTGTGTCCTTCCCACTACCGTACTTTAGAGTATGTACCAGTGGTTCATACTTTGGAGGTAAACCGGTAAGTATCTGAATAGCCTGGTCTTCATCAGAAATCTTTATCTCTAAACTCTCAAGATCATTTACCAGCTTCAAGAACACATCTAGATTCTGTTCAATAGTCTTCTGCTCATCCATCTTGTAGCTAGCAAACCTCTGCTTAAGATAGATCCGGTTAGGAAGAGATTTAGTCTGATAATCCCTTTCCAAAGCCTTCCAAATACCAAGTGCTGAGGTCTCTTTCATCACCTTCCTTATGATCTGGTCACTCAAACTCATTTGAATCAAACTGCGAACTCGCTTATCCTTCAAAGCTCGTTTAGGATCATCTTTAACCTCAGTGTCTGGCTCAGCCTTCTCTCCATCGCTTCTTGTTTCTGTTTCTTCCTCAAGAACAGAATCCAGCCCCAATATCTCCAACGCACAGTACATCTTGTGCTTCCAAATACCAAAATCTCCAGATCCATCAAACTTCTCAACTTCGAAACGACCTTTAGTAGGTTCCATATTCTTATTTCAGGTTGATCAGATCCAAAACAAGATACAGACTAACAAGACGCTTCAAGACTCAAGCAACAACTCCTACACTTCAGAGAAACAGATAAGTTTCGAACCTTACGCTGATCCTCCCCTTTTATTGTAGATCTGACTTCTTGACTGATGAGAATCTTGGATCTGAAAGTATCACGAGTATCTTCCCAACCTTGTGCTCTGATACCAATTGTTACGTTTTGATCCTCGTTGAATACTCTAGATTTGATAACGATTTGTTGAGTGTTGGTTACGTAATCAAGAAAGAAAGAATGCAAGAGTGATTTGTTTACCCAGTTCGCATAAGCTACATCTGGGGGGAGGCTCTTGCTCCCAATCCACTAAGCTTTAGTCACAGTTTACAGTATAAAGCTCGTACAAGAATCTATCACACGTTAACCTCGATTCTTGATCTTCAAGGATGCGATCGGATCTCACAATGGATACCACTCGACCACCGAGTCACCAGAGAGCTCCTCTTCCGCTTCAGCACTCGCCGGAGAATCCACCTGAGAAGATGATCTCAATCACTCTGCTTCTTGGTTCTAACTGACGACCACACCGTAGAAGATGAAGACGAAGACATTATATACTCGACAGAACAGAACGGCGACGTTTAGCCAAAACGCGGGTAGATGGGCCAGAAGTTGCGAAGGCCCAATAATGTTGGATCGGCCTTTGTACACTAAAGCCCACAAGATGCCATTGAACATTGGATCTCTCATTTCTATATCGCAAGTATTTGAGAATCAAACAAATCCCAAAGCTACTCTGATTTATTCGATTCAAATTTACAATTCTGGACTAACATCAAATCATTTCGATTTCGATTTCGTCCAACAATTACGTAATAGAGAATCATTCAAATTTAAACAAACATTATAGAAACCCATGTCTACTATGGTTTAAAGCATAACGGTATGAATCTTGATTTCATTAGAAACTGAAGCATATGAACATAATCAATTGAAAACGTAAAAACAAAAACATGGTTGACTAATCAATCGTCATCACCAGATGGCTTCGATGAAGCGCCAGTCTTCTTAGGAAGAAGATGATTGTGAATATTCGGCATCACACCTCCATTAGCAATCGTCACATCTCCCAACAACTTACTCAACTCCTCATCGTTCCTCACCGCCAATTGAATATGCCTCGGAACAATTCTCGTCTTCTTGTTGTCTCTCGCCGCGTTCCCAGCCAATTCCAAAACCTAATTACTCAATTCCCAAAAAAATAGGGTTTTAAAAAAGAAAAAAAAAGAAAAAAAAAAAGGGGGAAGATTGATTTACCTCGGCAGCTAGGTATTCGAGAACGGCGGCTAAGTAAACCGGAGCTCCGGCACCGACACGTTCGGCGTACTTGCCTTTCTTCAGGAAACGAGCGATCCGACCCACCGGGAATTGGAGACCCGCTTTGCTACTCCTGGTTGTTGCCTTCTTCGCGGCGGAAGCAGATCCGAGAGTTTTGCCACGACCCGCCATTGAGAAAGAGGGAATGAATAATATATGAATCGCGACTTCGCCGAAGTTTATTATATACGGTGCCTGAACAATAGAGTTAACCAATAGAAAGAAAGTACGCGGATCGCTTATTCATCAAAGTTTGATTAGTTTCTAATCGACGGTGCAGATTCGGATTTTTAAAGGATCTGCATGTATGGAAATACCGGGAATACCTTCACTAACTGTATTTCTCAGTTTTTGTTTTGTTTTGTTTTAAGGCCCTAATTTTTACAATGGAGACAAAGAGCACGATGAATTAAGGGATATTTATTTATACTATTATTTGCGAAGTGATTTTTCGCAACGGAGCTCTCACGTTAAAAGTTGAAGTGGTTAATATCGATTATACCCTCAATGAATAAAATATATAATTACCCAAAAATAAAAACGAATTTAATATTTCTTTGATTAGATAAATGATTAAAATTAATTGTTATAATATTATTTGCGAAGTGATTTTTCGCAACGGAGCTCTCACGTTAAACTTAATTATATATTTGTGAAATTATTTTTCTCCCCTGAACTCACACGTTAAATTAAATTTATATTTCTATTTTATATAGGTAAACCTTAAACATGAATTAATCATAGAAAATAAAAGATTATTAAAAAGAAAGAAAATATGTGTTTGATAAAAATAAATTCAAATATATTGTATTATTATCCAAACTAATATTATTTTTTTGTAAGATCAATTTTTGAATGTATATTTATCGATTCAATTTTTCAAATGGAAAGATAGATTTCTATATTTTTTTATCAATTAAAAAAAAATGAAATAGACTTTAGATTTTTCAAAGTTTTAAAGGAAAAAATAGTTTTTTTAAAATTTGTGAATAAATTTATCATGTAGAAAAGTTTATGTTTTAGGTCAATTTTTTTGGATGCAAATAATCATTTATTTTAATGATTTTTTAAATTGATTTAAAGATAATTAAGTCTGCATGTGCGGACATAACACCTAGTTTACTTTAAGAACAAAACTTAGGTTCAACCCCTATGGTGAACTTTCAAATTCATCTCACCACTAATAATTACACATAATACCACATAGATTAATACATAGAATTATTAAAAAAAAATTAAAAAGACTAAACTAGATTTAAAAATAATAATATCAATTTTAACGACGCTAACACCACCAGCTAAGCCCTAAATCCAAACCGTAACCCAAAATTCTATCTTAACCCTAAAATCTAAACCTTAACCCAAACCCTAAACCCTAAACCCAAACAGAAACCCTAAATCCAAATTCTACACCCTAAATCAAAACTCTATACCCTAAAACCTAAATCTTAGACTCTAAACCAAAATTATATACCCTAAATCCAAACCATAGATCCTAAACTCTAAACCCTAAACCTTAAACCCTAGACTCTAAATCCTAAACTTAAACTTTAGATCATGAAACCATAAATCCAAACATACCTTAAATTCAAAGCCAAACTATAAGTCTTAAAACCACATCTTATATCCAAAATATTTTGATTAATGTTATGTTCCTTTAGAGTTTAATGTTAGGATTTAATGTTTGAATTTAGAATTTACGGTTTGGATTCATGATTTATGGTCTAGAGTTTGGACTTAGACTCTAGGGTTTAAAATTTAGGATCTAAAATTTAAGATTTAGAATTTAAGGTCTAGGGTTTGGGTTTGGGGTATAGAGTTTGGGTTTAGGGTTTAGGGTCTAGGGTTTATGTTTTAGGGTATATGTTTAGATTTAGGGCATAGGGTTCGGATTTAGGATTTAGATTTAGGTTTTAAGGCATAGGGTTTGAGTTTAGGGTACTGATTTTGGTTTAGGGTTATGGTTTAGGATTTAGGATTTAGCTAACAGCGTTAGTGTCATCAATAACGGGGTGAATTTAAAAGTTCACCATAGGGGATAAACTTTTTTATTTTTTATTTTTTGGTCAAACCATGCTTCCATTAAACATAAACTTCAAACAACAGAGTATTCAGTCCCAGCAGGATTGTTTGACAAAAGAAACAGAGCTTCTTTAGCAAGCTTATAAGCATGCTCATTACAAGAACGAGAAACAAACTGAAAGGAGATAGAGTTAAGAGATCTACTCAACACGTCAATGTCATGGAAGATCCCTTGAAGAGAGATCACAGACTTGTTTCATGTGATCAGATTATTTAGAACCTTTGAGTCTGAAACACAGACCATATCTTTGATTCCAACGGAGACAGCCTTTAAGAGGCCTGATTTAAGAGCCAAAGCTTCTGCCACCAGTGCTGATGCTACGCAAATTTTGCCAGAGTTTCCTTCGAAAACAGTAGCACCAGTCGGGTCCTTACATACCCAACCCAATCCCCCTACATAAGAAGAACAATTCCAAGCAGCATCAGAGAAAATAATGGTGGTATTTTCCAGTCCCTTTGGTAACCTATTCGCAAGTTGGCAGTCTTTAGAAGAAACAGAGCGTTTAGAAGGTGGTGCTTGAGCCAACTGCCATTCTTTTGCAGCCTTGATAGCTTTCACCATGACCTCTGATTCTGAAAAAGACTTATCTTCGAACAGTAGTTGATTCCTGCTAGTCCACAACACCCATAAGATCCACGGGTACAGGGGCGTCAAGATCTTCTAGGTGGAACCTGCATTGCTGGCGCAAGGTCCCATACTCTCTTTGCAAACGGACACACGAACATAACATGGAAAACAGACTCGTTCTCACCACATCTCTTACATCTGTCATCAACCTGAATCCCTCTCTTAGTTAGTGTTTCACCAACAGCTAAAGAATTGTTTTTGACCTTCCAGAGAAAATGGCGCAGCTTTGGTGAGCATTTTACATTTCAAACATACTGTTTCCAGTTAAAAGTGTCCAGTGGGTTGTCGCTGTGAACTTTAGCAATTGCATAACCTGACTTTGTGGTATAAGAGCCTGACTTATCAAGCAGCCAGACGTGTTCATCTTTCATGCTTAGGGAGCTAGGAACCAGCTTCCTAATTGTCGTCTCGTATTGGGGCAGGTATAGCTTCAGCTGATTCACGTTCCATTCAGTGCTGTTAGGGAGCATCAAATCCTTCACCAGCAGCTCTTTACCTTGTTGAGTTGGGGGTCCTATCGGGTAGATCGGCTGAGTCGTTGACAACCAGTTGTCTTCCCAGATGTTTATAGATTCTCCATTGCCAATAACCCAACCCATCCCTTTCCTAAGGATCTCCCTGCCCGCCAAAATTCCACGCCATCCATGGGAGGCTGAATTAGGGGCTGACACTGTAAGTATATCCTCATTTTGACAATATTTGTTCAAGAGTGTCTGCCCCAACAGAGAACCAGGGTCCTTGATCAGCCTCCATGTATGCTTGGCCAGCAAGGCATCGTTGAATACTTCTATCCCGAAACCCAAGTCCTCCAGCGTTCTTGGGTAGTGTCAGTTTGTCCCATGAAACCCAACACATCTTCCTAACAGCCGGTTTCACGTCCCACCAGAATCTTATAAGGACCGACTGTAATTGTTTACATAGGGACATCGGGAGTTTGAAGCATGACATGGCATACGTCGGCATGGCAGCCAAGACTGACTTTAAGAGAACCATCTTGCCAGCTCCCGATAGATATCTAGTTGTCCAGCCATGAGTTCGTTGTCTGATACGGTCGACAATAGATGCAAAAATATCTCTTTTTTTCCTTCCAAAATGCTCTGGCAGCCCTAGATACTTCCCGATACCACCTTCAGTGCTTATTTTAAGTTCGTGCTTTACCCGAGTTTTGCAAGCCTGGCTGGTTTTAGACGAGAATGTAATAGCTGACTTTGCTTTGTTAATGCATTGTCCCGAGGCTGCTTCATATTTTTCGAGAATAGCGGTCAATGTAGCACAACTTGCTGCGTTTGATTTGCCAAAGAACATAGTATCATCCGCAAATAGCAAGTAGTTTATTGGTGGGCAGTTTCGTGCTACCTTTACTCCCGGGAGTGTACCATTTTCCAGTGCTTTATTGCACAGCCCGGAGAGAACTTCCGTACACAAGATAAACAAGTACGGGGAAAGAGGATCCCCTTGACGGAGTCCTCGAGAGGGAGTAAATTTTCCTTGAGGTCCTCCATTGATGAGAAAAGAGTAGGACATAGATGATACACACGCCATCAACCAGGAGATCCACGTCTCGTGAAAGCCAGTCGAAGCAATACCTCTCTCAAGAATCCCCATTCGATCCTGTCATATGCTTTACTCATATCCGTCTTTACCGCCCTCGATACATGCTTTTTAGCATCCGATTTTCTCAGATAGTGCAGAATCTCATGAGTAATCAGCACATTGTCTGCTATTGCCCTCCCTGGAACAAAGGCTGATTGGGATGGGGAGATCAGTACTTGCAGTAGCGGTTGTAGCCTCTTTGACAAGATCTTTGCGATGATTTTATACTGGGTGTTACACAGCGCAATGGGCCTGTAATTATATACCCGTTTAGCTCATGTTACCTTCGGTATAAGCCGAATATGAGTCTCATTCTGTCTTGGCTGAAGGTAACTAGTTTCAAAGAAACTTCGGATGTCCTTGTAGATGTCATCTCCTATAACATCCCAGAAGGTTTGGTAGAAGCTGGCCGAGAAGCCATCAGTCCCTGGAGCTTTGTCCGGATTGATGGAGAAGACTGCATTTTGGACCTCAAGCTTATCCAGAATTTTTATCAGATTTTGGTTCATATCCATCGAGACTTAGGTACTAGTGCCTCATTTACTACCGCAGTAGCATCCGTATAACCCGACGTGAAGAGCTGTTGGTAGAAAGCAGTGAAGGCTCTCACGATGTGGTCTTCTTCATAAAATGCTTCCCCGCTTTCATTCTCGATGATCGAAAATTTGTTGCATGCTCTACGTCCTCTTGTTACTGCATGAAAGAAGCTTGAATTTTTATCTCCTCCGTTCAACCACTGAATTCTACTTCTCTGCCTCCAGAAGGCTTCCTCCTCCGCATATGCTTTCTCAAGGGTTGCTTTCAGCTCTTCTATCAGGCACAAGTTTTGGTTTGTTTCCGACAAAGCAAGCTCAAGGAAAATCTGAGTATTACATATGAGTTCTTTGCTTGCT